TATGACACGCATGATAACACTTCCTCGTGATATACAAACACGATGATCAGTTAGCAAGCATGCCATATATTCGCCAGTTAATCAAGATTTTCAAAATATGAAGTGAATTAAACATTGCTATTATTCTAAATTCAAACCTTTTGTTTGATGTGTGTGTGTATATATATATATATATGTTTTTGAATGTAAAGCAGGTGAGAATGATATTACAAGTATTTTATGTCGCTAAACAGTTTTTGTAAGAGAACATTTTCCCTCATCCTAAATAACCCATTTAATGTTGTAGTTTGGTCTACGAGAGAAACATGTTCATTGGTATATACATACATTTCTGTTCTCCCACAAAGAATATACTTATATACATAGATACATACATAAATTGAATTGTGAATTTGCAACTAAAATAAGCAGCCTGTTATTCTGTGAATATATATATATATATATATATATCAACATGGAAAGAAAAGAAAAGAAAAAGAAGCGGCTACATGAGTTGAGAATCTGCAGCAACCAAGCAACAGTATGGAAGGAAAGGCCAGGTCTCCTGCATCATCCTCATCTCGAACAGTTTGAGTGAGTTGCTCAGCAGGTATTAAGGGTCCCTTCTAAGACTTATTATTAGACCTATATATAAAATTAATAATAAAACAAATACTAATGGAGAAGAGATGAGAGAGCACGATTCAATTACTATTTACTATACATGTGGCTGCTGCCCGCTGGCCATGAGTATTTGATTGCCAGGTTTTAAGCACAAACTACTTTATTTGAATGCCAAACAAAATGCCCCAAAGACAAAAACCAAAGGAATCTTCGAAGATGCAAACCACTTTACCCCATGGATTATGATGCATGAATGGGAATTAACCACTCCAAGCCTGACACCTCACTCATTTGTCTGATCATGAATTTCATGTTTTTCATTTCATAACATTGACGACTCCTTGTCATATTCACTCACTCACTCACTCACTCGCTTCTCCTATGATCAGCATAAATTATGGCCGATCTCTGTGTGTTCTTTTCTTCGACATTCGACACGTTTCATAACTTTTGGGCACCCTTTACTTTCTTTTTGTCAAATAGGCCCCCAAGTGTCCTTTTCTTGGCTGTTAATTGAATGGTTGAGCATCTCCGAAGGAAGAGGCAAAAGGGTAGGCAAACTTCATTTACCTTGTCACATCAAAATTTTCACACTTCAAGGTAATATTTCATACTTCGAAGCGAATAGGTATATTAAGTCCCACATATTTTTATTATTAAAAATACTTTTTTATTTTTTGGTGATAGGTGAAATGAGGTAAAGGTAAAATATGAAAATAAATAATATTATATTATATTATATTACCTAGTTCATTTATCTAGTGAGTCCATTGGAATAAGCAGTTTTTCCAAGAGGAAACTAAATATGCAACATGCCACATCAGGCCATATAATACACTTTTGCCTATTTTGTTTGTCTATACCCTTGTGAGATGCTCAGGGAATAACTTATTTTATTCTCCTACTTCTACTCTACTATAGAGATAGAGAATATATTATACAATAATAGAACAGAAGGGAATCTCAGCCTTTTCTTGTTGGTTCTCTTTTGCTCCTTGCCTTGCAATATTTTCATTTCATGGGTAAATTTAGACCTAATAGTATAATGTGCTTAAACTAAAGTATGCTTCCCTCTTCAATTAACCCATAATTATCTAAAGTAAATTTACTGCTAGAATTGTTTGTGGGGTTGAGAAGGGGTATTGACTTACAAATCAGTGGTCTCAAGGTTTGAACTCCTATGACACTTTAGTAGTATGTGGGAGTGAGAAACTTCATTCTCTTGTAGTTTAGACTATTACTTGTCTTTTTTTAAAAAAATTGTTGAAATCAAGATGCAAATATGGACTTAACCCAACAAAGCCCAATTTCAACAGGGTAAGGCTCAAATTTATTGACCATTGGATTTAAATTCTGTGGTCAAATTGGTCCATTGACATTTGGATTTTGTAGAAGTTTACATGGGCTTGACATAGCCCAGTTACTCGTCATACTATCTTGGGCTATTTGTAGTGATTCCAAACAATCAAAGGACAAAGAGCCCAAGTGAAGGCCTCAAGAACAATGGTCCAATAAAGTGTGTGATAATGGATGTGTGATCCAAAACACAAAAAGAGGGAGAGGGAGAGGGAGAGGGAGAGGGAGAGGGAGAGTGAGAGAGAGAAATCAAGGCCTATTATCATCAATGTACAATGTATAACCCACGCCACACAGAGCAGAGGAGAGCAGAAGAAGCAGAAGAGAGCAGAAGATAGCAGATCAGATCAGAGCAGAGCAGTGCAGAGAAAAAGAGGGAATCTATATATGGTAATGGTTATCTTCTTCTCTCACAGTCGTCACCCACAGAGACATATACGTATGAGTTTTGATGATTTGAGTTTAGGAACTGGCACTCGGAAGCTTTGCACTTAAAATGAGGCCCCGATGCCAAATTGCAATGCTTGCAGTCAGTGATGAGTAAATTTTGATCCACTTACTTGCTTTGGTCACGCAAAGTCACTTCACAAATCTTTCTCAATCTTCAATTTTTGGAATTCCTTCACAGATTCCAACACCACACCATCATAAAAAGCTTTCCATATTTAATCGCAGACTCTTAAATTTTTCCCATAAATCTTCTTTTAAATTGTTTCCATATTATTATGTTATGTAAGCATAAACACTCAACAACACATGTGCCCCCCGCCAGACATCCCTTCCCAAAACTTACCTTCAATATTCATCTGTCATGCAGTTATTAATGCCTTGTTTACTTTGTTAAGAAACCTATCTGTTTATGTCTATCTATAACTGCAGGAACAGGAAATTTTTCAGATTTTCATGCAGCTCAGGCAGTGTGCCTCTCTCAGCTGCTAATATTTAATCACTGTTGTTTGCTGTTTACGCAGTTACTCTACTCAACAAAAAAGTTTAGAGGACGTACCAAAACAAAAACAAAAAAGTTCAAATGTCAAAGAAAAATCAAAACCTTGCACAGCTTACAAATTTTGAAACATAACAAGTCTTGTGTGTTGTGTTGTGTTGTGTTGGGAAATCTTATGGTTCTGAAGAGAAGAGATGATCATCAAAACGTAAATGTTTGATGCTTTTGGTACATAAGATCTGCCTGCCATGTGATATATGCAATGAACATGATCTTTGAAGTTCTTTGCCTCTCATACAACTTACGGTACTACGCTGACACAGACAAAACCATACAGTTCGTTCAATTATTTTCATGGAGAAAAAACATGCTTCAATAAGACAAGGCAGACGTACCTCCCTACTAGCGTGTAAAAGCTTTCTGCCAATATCAGCTTTTCTGAGAGGACAAAAAAACAAAATAGTATCAGCATTCTTTCGTAATATCCATATATACTTTTGCATTTTTCAAATAAAAGAAGCAGTGGACTAGCAAATTATTATTACAATGTTGAGAATTGATCTGATAAAGAAAGATTACAGATGAAATGAAATGGTGTCAATCAGGGCAAGGCTGCATCAAAACAGAGGAAATTCCTGTTTTGAGTTTTTGCTTCCTATGAAGGGACAGCTCAGCCCCCACTATACCTCCCTCGCTTCCTTTCCTACTCTCATGTCTCATCATATATCACTATCCCAAGTGCAAATTAACTGCCATGTTTTATAAAGTAATCAGAAAAAATCGAAGATTGTTATTAATATATATCACAATGACAAAAATAGCCATAATCCCATGTCAAAATGTCTGTCCTGAACCACGCAGCAGATGAATTGCAGAGCTGATATTAAATGCCCCCAAAGTCCCCCCACTCTCGACTCACGAGTGCTTTTTTGTCAGTTCACTTAAGATTCCAGGCCCATATAAGGTTGCCCGATTGTGTTATATTATAATTTTGTTGTTTATCGAATACGATCGATAGTCTAAATTAACAATTAGTTTAAACTTAATATCTTGTTAAGCGGTAGTATAAACATGTGTTTAGAAAATTGCATAATTCTTCTTCAATTGCAAACCCAATATGGAGACTGATATAAATGTTGAACTTGTATCACTTGGTGTTTTCCGATGTAATTTTGTTTTAGCACTCTTTCTTTAATATAGCATTTGCTGGGCTTTCCAATATTGGCACTGAGAAAACTTATTTATTGCTGTTGGTTGGTTGTTTGGATTCAAAGAAGAGGTTTTTGTTTTTGCGAACCATACAGATTATTTTTCAAAAACCATACAAAAAAGTACATGGGGTCACATTTTATCCACTGTAACTTCTACTTTCATCCTCAGCTTTTTGGCGTTGGGTAGCATCGAAAGCACCTTTCTTTGTCATTTTGTAAGAAGCTTCACACAACTCACGTTTCCAGCTCACTCCTCTATTTCAGTTATTTATACTTTTAACCCAAATCATGTGGACCCCCATACTGTAAGATAGCACATCAAAGGTACAAGTATTTGTGAATTTGCCCCTATCAATTCGATTGGATGAACAAATATAAAGGTGTACTTCTTCCACACTTTGACCAAGATATAGAGTAGCATCAAAAGAAATAACCCCAATTCAATTTTTTTTTTAATACAAGCAACTTTGAGTTGAAGGAGAGGAGATTCGAACACAATAATTCGAGTGAATAAATAATTACTAAAATTTCAACACATCACATTGAAGTAAACAAACTAAATAAACAGCATGAAAGGAAGATAGTATAATCAGTCTAATAATAATACCACTATGAAAGTAAGGATCCAACTACAAAAGGTCAGACGATACTTATTCTCATAAGCAATGTAATTATATCCATACATAGTGCTAAAGCTGCAAAACCCACCAAGCCCACAGCTACAAAAACAAATCTTATACATATTCAATCACGAGAGAGAGAGAGAGAGAGAGAGAGAGAGAGAGAGAGAGAGAGGGAGGACATGCACGAGAAACAGAGCCCCTAATTTCCGAAGCAGAAGAGCACACTTGAGAATTGAAAACGAAAAGAAAAAGAGACAAAAGCCGGATTCTCAGAAGTAGGGCGAAGTAGGGCACTAGGGTGAAGTTTGGAATACGAAGAGTATTTGGGTTGAAAGTATAAATTCGTGAAAGATATATTTTGGGTCAAAGTAGGGGCGTTTTTGCAAATGAAACAGAATTGGCTTTATGAACTTATTAGAGAGTACAAGTCACGTGAGCTGCGTGCTGCTCTCTGACCGATTTAATAACATCTTGTTTTGATGTTTATGGGGCCTTCTTGGCAAACACTCAACTCTCTCTGGCTACTCGCTCGAATGCAGCAGCTGCAATGAGCCCTTAGCTTTCTTCTACCTTCATTTCTTTGCAACACAGCTTTGGGCGCTCTGTTTTTTCTTTTGTTCAATATCTCTCTGTGTTTCATGGCGTCGAAAAAGCCTCTGTTTTTCGTACTCTTAGCTTTTCAGTGTTTCTTCCTACTCACCAATGCCATTGTTGACCAAAATGAGCAGAGCCCAGAAAGAGAAGCCCTGCTTTCTTTCAAGACCGCACTTGAAAACCCTGAAGTTCTCTCTTCATGGAGGCAATCCATCCCACACTGCAACTGGGTCGGCGTCTCTTGCCATCTCGGCCGAGTCACTTCACTCGCCCTTCCAACTCTGTCACTCAGAGGCACACTCCCTCCCTCGCTTTTCTCTCTCCCTAACCTCACCGTCCTTGACCTCTCCTCGAACCTCCTCCGCGGCCAAATCCCACCTCAGATTTCAAAGCTTCCATCTTTAGTTTCCTTGGACATATCCAACAACTCTCTCTCTGGTACTCTTCCACCTGAAATTGGTAGCTTGAAGAATCTGACCGACCTCTACATTGGCGCTAACCATTTTTCGGGTCCATTGCCTCCTGAAATCGGTGACCTTTCACGGCTAGAGAATCTTGATTCTCCTTCATGTTCCATAACCGGTCCATTGCCTGAAGAGTTATCCAAGTTGGAATCACTGAGTAAACTTGACCTCTCATACAACCCATTGAGATGTTCCATACCGAAAGCCATCGGGAAGTTGCAGAAGTTGAGTATTCTGAATTTAGTATTTGCTGAACTTTATGGCTCTGTCCCTGCTGAGCTGGGAAACTGTAGGAATTTGAAGACTTTAATGCTTTCCTTCAATTCGCTTTCTGGGTCGCTACCAGAGGAGGTTTCTGAGCTTCACGTTTTGACGTTTTCTGCTGAAAAGAACAATCTTTCCGGACCATTGCCTCCTTGGCTCGGAAACTGGCATCAGGTTGAATCAATTTTGCTTTCGAGCAATTCGTTTTCTGGGAAAATCCCACCTGAGATTGGGAATTGTTCTACGCTTAGGTCCCTTAGTTTGAGCAGCAACAGGTTGTCGGGTCCAATTCCAGCAGAGCTCTGTAATGCGGTCTCGCTCGTAGAGATTGATTTGGATAGTAATTTCCTCTCAGGAACGATTGAGAACACGTTTGTGAAGTGTAGGAACCTTACTCAGTTGGTTTTGGTCAATAATCAGATTGCTGGGCCAATCCCTGGTTACCTTTCAGAGCTTCCACTGATGGTGCTCGACCTTGATTCAAACAATTTCACGGGTACAATACCTACAAGTTTTTGGAGCTCGGTCAATTTGATGGAATTTTCAGCTTCTAATAACCAGTTGAGGGGTTCTCTATCAAAGGAAATTGGTAGGGCAGCTGCATTGGAAAGGCTTGTTCTTAGTAACAATCAGTTGACAGGCACTATACCTAAGGAGATTGGAAATCTCAGTACCCTTTCTGTTCTTAACTTGAATTCAAATCTTCTTGAAGGAAACATTCCGGCTGAGATTGGCCGGTGCACAGGACTTACGACATTGGAACTGGGAAACAACCAACTCAGTGGCTCTATTCCGGTGGAGATTGAGGACTTGGCTCAATTGCAATGCCTGGTACTTTCTCATAATAAGCTGTCTGGATCAATTCCTTCAAAGCCATCCTCGTATTTTCGGCAAGTTACTATCCCTGATTTGAGCTTTGTTCAACATGTTGGAGTGCTTGATTTGTCCTACAATAGACTGTCTGGCACAATACCTGAAGATTTGGGTAACTGTGTTGTTCTGGTGGATCTGTTGATCAGCAACAACATGCTGTCTGGGGGAATTCCAAAATCCCTCTCTCGCTTAACAAATCTTACAACCTTGGATTTGTCCGGCAACATGCTTAGTGGTTCCATTCCTCCAGAATTTGGTGAATCCCCCAAGCTTCAAGGCTTGTATCTCGGAAATAACCAGCTTACAAGCACCATGCCTGGAAGCTTAGGTCGTTTGGGAAGTTTGGTAAAGCTTAATCTGACTGGCAATAAGTTATCTGGTGCTGTGCCTATAAGCTTTGGGAACTTGAAAGGGCTAACCCACTTAGATTTAAGCTTTAACAAGCTGGATGGTGAGCTCCCTTCATCTCTTTCAAGCATGCAGAATCTTGTGGGGTTGTATGTTCAGCAGAACAGGCTTTCTGGTCGTGTTGATGGGCTCTTCTCAAATTCCATGGCTTGGAGGATTGAAAATATGAACTTGAGCAATAATTTCTTTAATGGGGAGCTGCCCCTTTCTTTGGGAAATCTGTCCTACTTGACATATTTGGATCTTCATTCAAATTTGTTTAGAGGAGAGATTCCTCCAGACCTGGGGAATCTGATGCAACTGGAGTATTTCGATGTTTCAAGTAACAAGCTCTCTGGGCAGATTCCAGAGAAAGTATGCAGCCTCAACAATCTGTTTTACTTGAACTTTGCAGAGAATAGGTTGGAAGGGCCGATTCCGAAGACTGGTATTTGCCAGAATCTGTCGAAAATATCACTTGCTGGTAATAAAAGGTTGTGTGGGAGAATCATGAATTTGGATTGCCAAGTCAAAAGTTTTGATAAGTCAGCTTTGTTGAATGCTGGGGGAGTTGCAGCTATTGTGGTTGGAAGTGCTCTGACAATTGTTGTCGTAGCTTTAGCTTTAATAAGATGGGTTACCAGAAGCAGTCGTCATGATCCTGAAGAAACTGAAGAAAGCAAGTTAAGCAGTTTCTTAGATCATAATCTCTATTTCCTCAGTAGCAGCAGATCAAAGGAACCTCTGAGCATCAATGTGGCCATGTTTCAGCAGCCACTTCTGAAGCTAACTTTAGCTGATATACTTGAAGCCACCAACAATTTCTGCAAGACAAACATAATTGGAGATGGAGGCTTTGGAACTGTGTACAAGGCCACTTTGTCCAATGGGAAAACAGTTGCAGTTAAGAAGCTAAGCGAGTATAAAACCCAGGGACATCGAGAATTCATTGCTGAAATGGAAACCTTGGGTAAGGTAAACCACCAAAATCTCGTTCCATTGCTTGGGTACTGCTCTCTTGGTGAGGAGAAGCTCCTTGTTTATGAGTATATGGTGAATGGGAGCCTAGACATTTGGCTGAGGAATCGAACTGGAGAACTTGAAGTCCTGGATTGGGACAGACGTTTTAAAATTGCTTTGGGTGCAGCCCGTGGCCTGGCGTTTCTTCATCATGGTTTTATTCCCCACATCATTCACAGGGATATTAAAGCCAGCAACATCTTGCTCAATGAAGACTTTGAGCCAAAGGTTGCAGACTTTGGACTTGCAAGATTGATCAGTGCTTGTGAGACTCACATTTCAACTGACATTGCAGGAACATTTGGCTACATCCCACCAGAGTATGGACAAAGTGGGAGATCTACCACAAAGGGAGATGTCTATAGCTTTGGTGTGATAATGCTTGAATTGGTGACAGGGAAGGAGCCCACTGGACCTGACTTCAAAGAGATGGAAGGCGGGAACTTGGTTGGTTGGGTTTTTCAAAAGATGAAAAAGGGGCAAGCTGCCGATGTTCTAGATCCAATCGTACTCAATGCGGATTCGAAGAGCAAGATGCTTCAAGTGCTGGACATTGCCCGTGTTTGCCTTTCTGATAACCCTGCCAGCAGGCCAACCATGCTTCAAGTGTTTAGTTCCTTGAAGGGATCAAAGACGAGTAAAATGTAGACTTGTCTATGTGGTGGAGAGTGTAATAGGTTTGTTGTTGTTATGACAACAATGATGGTAATGTAAAGTAGTTAGCAACAAGCGGTAGGACTTCTAAGTTGTAATGCTAATGCTATATTAGTCTGCTAACCTAATCACAAGCCAGAATTTCAATACTCCTGCACCTGGTGACCATGTTTGGTTCGTACTTTACCGCTTCATTTCTTCTTTCACATTAAGCTCATGAAGGTTATCAGAGTAGCATTCATAGCTTCGTTTCTTCTTTCACATTAAGCTCATAAAGATGATCATAGTATTCATAGTAACAAACAATGTATATGTTGATGAACAAAGTTATCTGCAAATTCTTTCCATGCAAAGCAAAATTGAAGTTTGAACAGCTTCAAGTCCATCTCAGCCTCACCCCAATTTGGAGAAACACTTCAAAATTCATAAGGTCAGGATGAAAATGGTAAAGCAGTCAAAGAGAGGCAGCCCTCTTATCTGTGGAATTTAGGGACGGCGGCAAAAGAAGAAGAGTGCAAAACACTTTTCCAAGAGGACGGCCGCATAAATGCTCTTTAAAACAAAGACTTGGGAAACGAATAACCATCCGTCCTAAGAAGATACCATGAACCTATGATCAAACCTAGTCTTACTGGAAATTAACTAATAGCCACACAATTCCATACCTTCTTTTTTTCTTTTTCTTTTTCTTTTTTGGGTCTGTTAATTGACCATTCCCTTGCTTGGTGGGAAGTGGGAAATATTTGATCAGATTACATGCGCTTTAGCATGCAAAGCACCATATGCAATAGCAAAAGAAACCATTAAAAAAAGGTTTAGAAAGTCTTAAGAAATTTCTTGAAATGGGTCCCTAAAGGTTGACGACGCACGTGAACCCATTTTTAACACGTGCCTCAATATCCTTGTAAGTAACGGGGTTTCAACTTCCACCCCATACAGTTCCAGTACCATTCCATCTAACATCTAAACGTAAATGCTAACTAATCAATAATCAATTAATTACACACCCTCTGATTAGCCATGTGGCGCTGATTCAGCCACGGCGTTTCCTGACGATCCACATCTAACGGCTCTGATTTAACGTCGCCACCACCACTCGGTTGCTGCAGTCGTAAGCCGGTCTCATCCTCCTCTACACCGTCGCCGACGGTCTCTCTTGCTCGCTTGGCTCCAATCGCCACACCGAAAAGCTTCGGGCTCGCCTCCTCTTCTTCCTTCTCGCCGTCGCCGGAGAACCGCTTCTCAGGCATCAAATCCAGCGGTTTCACATATGGGAAACCGCTTTCCGATTGTGCGTACGCGTAATTCGAGACCATGCTGAAGATGTTGTTGCAGAGAGACTTGACATCAGCCAGTTCCTTGGTGAGCTGCATGTTCTCCTTCCTCAGCTTTTCGTTCTCGTCCATGAGCTCGGACGGAGCTCTGATCGGCGACGAGCTCGACGAAATCACCTGCTCCTCGCCGGAGTTCGACGGAGATATCATAGGTTTCGCATTCGGAACCACCGCTGCCGTCGCCATCGGCGAAACGGCCACCGCCGGCGCCGGAGGCATGATTCTTCGGCGCTGTATCTCGCAGAGAAGCCGCTTTTCGCCTCTTCGAAAGCAATCGTTCGAGAATTCCCAACGGTCTGGTATAACCTTTCTAAATCCCTAAAAATCCAAAAATAATCAAATAAATAACTGAAATATTATTATTTTTATAAATTCAATCGGAAATTGAAGAAGACAAATAGAGGACTTACGTAGGTGTTGAGCTGCCTGACGAAGCTAGAGAAGTTGTTGTGCTTGAAATACTTGGGGAGCAAATCTCTGGCGAAGACGGTGGGGTTCCACACGACAAAGCTAGATCCGTCGTCGTTCCAGGAGATGACGTCGTCGATTGTGGGATCATCGACCAGCTGATACGTCTTGGTCAGAAATGGTGTCGGTAAAGCTCTATGGGATGACTCGCTGGATGTGGACTCACCGCCGTTCGGCTCCACCGACGTCGGAGCCATATCGAAAGTCACGCCTCTACCAAACTAATTAAAACAGAATCTAATTAACTATAAAAAAGATGAAAAATAGAATCGAAATCAAAATTTTAGAAGATGAAAGATGAAGGCTTTGAAGGCGATGGAGCAAAACAGAGAGGGATAGAGTTGGAGGAATGAAGGCGAGGGTTGGTTTCGTAGTTCTAGAAGGTTCTTTCAGGAATTCAAAGGATTTATACGATCGATCGTATGGAAGAGAGTGTGTGAAAAAATAGAGGAAACCGCACGAAACTCTTTATAATTTTCGAGAAACTTCCGGGGTCAGATTTTCTCGGTTGTGTATACGTGGCAACATATAAGAGGCCGGTAGTATTGCAAGTTTTTGTATGTATTCAAGGCAACAGTTATATTTTAATTTTATTTCATGAGTAATGCTATATTTACCGTATTTTTATTCCATATTTTTATACCACATGATGTGATATGTTCATATCATATATCATATTAATTAAATGAATGAAGTGTATTTTAATAAATAAAATTAGAAAAACATAAATTAATATTTTACATGATGTGATATGTACACATCAGCTGCCATATCATGTGGTAGAAAATGTGGTATAAAAAATACGGTAAGACTAGTATTATTCTTATTTCCTTTCACAAAAAGGTTATTCTAATGAGTTTGAGGTTTAACTCTCAAATTAATTAGTGTGTTTTGAACTCATATATAGAAATTGTAAATTAATTTAATTTATGAGTTTTAATTAGTGAATATGGTGTTTTGAACTCGGGCGGCGGAGAACATAGATAGACATTACTAGCGAAAGAGCGTAAAATAACTAGCTTTGCAGATGGAGACGTGGTTTCGACCATTTGCCAAGGCAATGAATCCCATTTTTGTATTCAAATTCAAATGTCACTTCCCGTAAATATTAATTTAGAATAGGTTAAATTATTATTTATACTCTAATGAGTTTGAGGTTTCACTCTCAAATTAATTAGTGTGTATTGAACTCATAGAAATTGTAAATTACTTTCATTTATGAGTTTTAATTAGTGAATATGGTATAAAATAACTAGCTTTGCAGATGGAGACGTGGTTTCGACCATTTGCCAAGGCTATGAATCCCTTTTTGTATTCAAATTCAAATGTCACTTTCCCGTAAAGATTAATTTAGAATAGTTTAAATTATTATTTATACTTTAATGAGTTTGAGGTTTCACTCTCAAATTAATTAATATGTTTTGAACTCATAGAAATTGTAAATTACTTTCATTTATGAGTTTTAATTAGTGAATATGGTATTTTGAACTTAGGCAGGAGAGAACACAGATAGACATTACTAGCGAAGTGGCCTAAAATAACTAGCTTTGCAGATGAAGATGTGGGTTTGACCAGTTGCCACGGCAGTTAATCCCCTTTTTTGTATTCAAGTTCAAATGTCACTTTCTGTAAAGATTAATTTAGAATAATTTAGACTATCATTTTTACTTTTCTAATAAATAAAAAACTATAACTCTTTATTATAAGAGCATCTCCAATCGATATGTCAAAAGTGCCATATAGACATTTAACGAATTGATGCGGAATGAATGTTGGAAGTTGAGATGTTATTTTTGATATCTCAAAGACAAGATGTCAAATGAATATTTTATTAATTTTTAAAGACAGCTGATTGTTACTTTCATTTATTATTTTCTTTTTTTAATTTTTTTCTTCTTTATCTTAAATGATTTAACTGTTACAATAATTATTTATTTGACATATCGAAATGGAGTGTAAAATTATGTAAATATCAAATTGCTATATCAGTCATCAAATTTAAATTTGATATTTGGTATTTGACATCTCTAAAAAGTAAAGTATTGGATTACTAGTTGGCAAAAGGTCAAAGATGCGGACAGTGTCGTCACATGGTCTGGTTTCATTCTCACGCGTGGGGCAAAAACCAAGGAAAAAAATAGATAAAAGCGGGTAAAGAAGCAAACAAGATTGACATTGGCATTAAAGTAGTGTGAAATACTCTCTACCTATTTAGTCCAATCTCGCTAATAATTGATGCCACACCCACACACACAACTATAAGATAAATTATAATTTTCCGTGGAACACATCCTGCATAAAACAGAAACCAAGTTTACTGTTTACCGACTACGACATAGGATTGGTGTATGTATGCAGATGTGATGGAAGAGACAAACAAACATCTTGTGTAAATTTGACCCTTGTTTTGCACCGTTCAAGTACAAGTAAATAAGGTTAGCTGCCTAGTTTTATTGACGCTGTTGCTTTGAACAATTTACCTTTTGCTATGCATGTATGACCATGAACTTCCAAGTCGATTTCAAAATAGAAAAGACAACATAGTCCAATTTCAGCACGACATTCTTAACAACATTCTTAAAATATGGTTCTCTACTAATAAGTACAAGCCTAACATGTTTCATAGGATTCTTCACAAACATACCATCAAAAAACCAAATCATCAAACACACGAAAGGCTCCCAAAGAAAGGGTTTAAAGGCAGAGCAAACAAGAAGGGACTAAAGAGAGAAATATAAAGCTTAAGTTTCCTTAATGTCCCTTCTTTTTTGCCAAGTTTCATGTAAACTGCAGTGGAGTCCCAGTTATATGTAGAAATAGAATTTAATCTGTCATGCCTATGACATCGGTAGAAGAGAATACAGTACAGTCATAGAACTCTAACATGCATTCCCTTTTTGCTCCTGATATGTTAGATGCAAATTGAACTACCGCATACATTCTATGAGTGTGAAATTTATATAACGACAAAATAAACAGAGGAGGTCAAGGATATACCCGATAATGTTTTCGATTCTCTCTTCCCCCTTCCTCGGGATGTAGAATTGCACAGGTTAAGTAATGAAAATTCCGTCACACGCACAACAACACTCTCACTCAAAATTCGTCGAAGGTTGAGACAACAAATCAAAGTCATCAAGACATGTACAAAACGCAGCGACGATATAGAAGAATGGTTGCTGAACTATAAATCGCCCAAACAAACATAACCCACCAAGCCATAAAGAGAGCCACTTCTTTCACAAAGGCAGAGCAAGGCGCTAGACTACAAATGTATTTGTAATTTTCCGAAGAGATACCATCAATCTGAGATAGTCCAAGAAAAAGGAGTAACACAATTGGTGGTGCAAGAAACTGCACAACTACAAGGCATAAGTAGTGATTGTGCAAAAACACCTTAGCCCTACTGAAATCCAAGTCTGGAACCCTGCTAGCATGCAATCTTTGGTACCAAGATAACAGTGCCTCATTCAAATACATTTGTATGTTGGGGCGTAGAGCAACAATTTGCAGAAAACTCGAAAGCAGTAAGCAGCAAAGCCTAAATTTAGCAAAATCTGAAGGCGAAAATCCGACATTGCCAATCAACATCTCAGCATTTCCAACTTTTCCATTTATGTTCTTGTTCACGAGCATTCCAGCTAAGGGATTAATCCACAAAAGAACTGTGAATACAATCATCATATAATTTGCATACAGAACTACTCTACCAAACCAATCACATGATAGCATTACCAAATCAGACCTAATCTGATCAGTTCCAAGCCAAAAGCACCTCGCACTCTTCACCGCGGGCATAAACAAGAAACCCGAAAAGCATCCCATTAAAACAGCAACAAAGATCCTCCCAGACCCATCAATTGAGTCAAAATTGAAATCTAAAACCGAAGGACTAAATGTGAAGCAAACCATATATCCTAAAACCAACCCCACAGCGCCGCAAAGCACACTCAGTTGCTTCTCTGACCGCCGCGACGCAGATTTCTCATACGAAACTTTGCCAAGCAACATCAACAACTTAGAAACACCCGCAAAGCCTAACAGAACCGGAACAAAAATCCCATTAACCAAAAGCCCAGAATTGTTTGCTTCGCTATTCAAGTACAATAACTGAAGCAAAAGACAAGATAGAGCTACAAATGAGAATGTGAAAGCATTGCAATACTCATTGAAATAGAGCCTGGTTTGAAGATGGGCCTCGTCGAGCTTTAGGCGAAAGATCTGAGCATTGTTTTCATCGAACTCGGGCTTGTCCTTTGACTTGGACCTCTTCCTGAGCTCGGAATTGGATTTTGAAGGTAACCCAGAAGCCGAATCGGAGGCATCGGGCCTCCGAATGGCGGCTCGGACTCCACTTTGGACGTTGTCAGGGTGGATGTAGGTGTGGAGGCCACGGAGGAAGAAGATGGGGATTTTGAGGAAGGTGAGGAGGAGTGTGAGTGTGAGAGAGAGTGAGAGTTGAAGTATAAGATTCTTGTAGGTGATGAAGAATTGGAGCATGGTTCTCTTCTCTTCTCTTAGCTTCTTCAATTCTTTTTGGGTATTTCAAAGACCAGAGAGCGTGGAGTTGTTGGGGACAGACAATGCTTAGAAGTTAGAGAGAGACAATGTGGGGTTTGAGATCTTAAGGTTGGCTTGGCTTCTGATAGAGGTTGTTTGCTCTTTGTGTTCTCGAAATTGTGTTTTGTGGGCCTGTGGGCCTGTGGACATGTGGACCTCTGTGTATGTGGGCCTGTGAGCCTGTGAGCCTGTGAGCCTGTAGCCCTGTGGGTACTCTTTAACCTTCAAAAGGCAAGCAAGCAATTGAGGTTACATGTCATGCTCCGATTTGAATAGTCATGGAAGATTTTTCTGGGTCAAGTATGATATACTGAAGTACGCGAATACCACACATTAATAATGCGCGTGTAGTATATGCGGGTGAAGCCAATTGTTCAAAGAAGTGTATCTGCTCTTCTTTGCATCCGAGTTTAATCTCTCTTATTATATTAGAATAGTTACCGTTTTGTCCAAAATAAAATAAAAAAATTACCCCACATGAGTGAAGAGATTTTATTCATTGATATATGGAACAAAAGGAAATACAAAACTTGAGAACTAAATATTCATGAACAGATTAATTCCAACAAATACACAAAGGATTGAATCATGCAATGCTATTCCTTGTGTTCATCAACCTAGAAAAACATCAATGATAAAACTCTCTCTCCCAAGTCAATATATTCACCCCCAACTAAGCCACAAACTCTATCCTATCCAAAAAGATAAGATTGCTGCCGGAAGGATCAAGATTGAGTACTATTTATTGATCGATTCTTTTGTCTACTTTCTTCCTTGAAGGGTACCCAACCCAACCCAACCCATCACAGGGTCACTTTGGTGATTTGATCATGGATCGTTCTCAGGCAACAAATCAATGCCAATATTGCCTCCTAAAAATCAACTACACCATCACAATCATTTTCCACAAAGTCACAACTGCTGCATTTACTACAACGACTGAAATAAATTATAAACGAAAAACCCTACAATTAACATTACACAATTCTTGGATCATGTCAATGGGTCATAGCTGATGAGGTACATTTAGGTGGTCTCTCTCATCTTTATCACCAACCGCTCTCATCTCAAACTGCGGGACCACCTGTGGGGATACAAAATTAATTACATTATTATTAACTCTAAATCAAACCCACTTCTCTTCTCTGAAATTTAAAAAAAAGAAGAGATAGGCAAAAGATAGCAAAATATCAATCCAGTCTGTCACATATTATTCGATTAATAATCATAATCGGATGGTGGTTACCAATTCATTCCTCATTGTCGTGTGAATTACCAACCTGATCTTGTGATGCATTGAACGGTTGAGATGAAAACCTCCTTAATCTTTTGTCTGCTCCGCCGTTAATTCTGCCGCCTGGACAGAACATCATTAACAATATAAGCTTATAGTTTTAGAGAAAATTACCCTTCTAATTTGAATAAGGTAAGAGCACAGAAATATCTCAAGGCATATTAGATCGGCATTTAAATTATAGATTGTTGTGTGTGAACGAGGAGCTGGAGCCAAATTAAACGCACATTTTTCACGTTAAGCACAAGATTAAACTATTAAATACATTTATATATAAATAAAACTTAAAAAAAAAACATATAATTACCTTGTTTTTTGGTTTTGAGATCTAGGGTTGAGTCTGAGGTGTCAGGCAAGTAACGGTCGAGACGAAGAAGGCGATGATCCTTCTTCTCAAACATGGCGCGCACAAACGATGCCTCCATGCTGTTCAAGAACTGCACGTGCTTCTCGTCCGTCCACGACCTCTTTTTACCGCTCTGCACGTGCGACTCCATCCTGATTTCTTAGTTTCAATATCTACTCGCCGGACGGAGTTTAGAGTTTAGAGTTTAGAGCTTGGGAGAACAACCAGGCCGGAGCTAGCCAGCGGCTGTTTGAAAATCTGAAGGGATTGCTTGGTATGTTTAATGCATTCGGTTTCTAATGATAACATTATATGCAGCATATGCTATATATGCAGCTTTTATTATAGGTAGGGTGACATTTTTTTGTTTGTTGGAGCCTTTTTGACGTAGTTAGGAAGAGAGAGTATTCAGAAGTACCTACTCGCTGTCTTTAGCCGACATGTGTTTGGCTCACCATAACATGTCACTTTCCAAATATCCCGACTCGATCAACTCCAATATAATAATCTTAACCAAATTTAGATTTTTCTTATCTCGACAATATCAGTTTGTTGTGGGATATTATTCTGTGGTTGATAAAAAATGAAGATATTTTTCTTTGGCAAGATGGTTGAAATATCAATGAGTAAGACTGTCGATTCAATTTATACATTTATAAAAAAAGAAAAAACAATGAGTCACGAATTGATGAAATAATATAAAATTTCAATCAACTAATTAATATGAGAAATTTATCCGAGTTTACTTATATAGTTGTATGTGTGCTTTTAAATACGAGTGATAGTCTAAATTATTGTGATTTATAAAAAAGACGAATGCAAAATTTAGAACACTATCTCGACAAACTAGCATTAATTAATGTTACGTGGGTGTCCTTAATGCTTGAAGAGTGGCTCACCTTTAGCCTAGCTAGCTTAGGCGCCTAACAATTAGATTATCAAAAACAAAAGTGTTCTAACAAGAATTTTTTTTTTTTTAAAGATAAGGAAAAGATAGGCTATACCGTGAGTAGAAGGCGAGTATGGAAGTTTTTGTGCAGGCGAGGAGGTATAGAAATTGGGGCATGAGAGATAAAATATCTAAAGAACTCCTTTTGGTAAAACAAATATCTTAGAACTTTATACGATTTTTTTTTTTCCTTTCTCCGGTCAAATGAACTTTATGCGATTAGCCTATAAGCTCTGACAGATATTTTGGGACGAACGAAGAATCTTCGAGACGCTCAGATATGTATGTATAATATACAAAGAGTAGGGGGACTAAATACGAAAATATCTGCGCGAGTCTTTTAAGATATTAAGATGCTGACTGTACTTCCAGTTAGGGGTCCCTTGTAGGGTATTTATTTCTTGGGCATCATAATCATAATTAATTAATATTTTACCCAATTTTATTTTATGAATAGACTATTTAATAATGATTGGGCATCATTTTATATTTTCATAGTTTGAAAATCAAAAGCCTTAATTCTGACAAAAAATAAAAAAATAAAAAGCCTTAAAGCTGAAATTAACTTGTGCTTTATTTATATTATTCTTGGTTACAAAGTGAGCCATGGGCTTATTTTGTTTTGGGCCGAGAGCCGTAGGCCCAAATAACATACAGCCCTTGGTGGGTCCAATCTCATTCATTCATTCGAGATTGGTGTGGCGAGCTCGTATGGCCTCAGGGGAGGTCTGACCTAAGGCCTCACCCAACTTATACACCACCATCTCAAACAACACGAACAAGGCCCCTTCGTACACGCTCCCCATAGGAAGCGACGGCAGAGATTCCATCACTTCACCAGCATCCGCATCATTTGCCATGGTCTGCGCTGGCACGTAACCCACCACGCTAGCGTGCTTCACACAGGATCCCGTCTCCGGCTGGGCAGTTAGCAGCAGGACTCTAGCACCGTGCGATCTTGCCACGGAGCAAATGGCTTCGACTGTGGAGAATCCACCTGGGCCCGCAGAGGCGATGAGTAGATCGGTGGTGGAGATTGGGGGAGTCGTCATGTCGAAGACCATGTGAGCCGAGAGGCCGAGGTGGGCCAGCCGCATGCACAGAGCCTTCAGCATTAGGCCCTCTCGGCCCACTCCGTAAAGGAAGACGCCGCCGTTTCTGGCCGCTGCAGAAGATAGCTCGTTGACCAAAAGGTCTAAGACTGGCGGGTGTGGGTGGGTTGGTTTAGTGAAGATGGAGGCTATGTGATTGCAAATTTGGGAGGCAAGAGAGGCCATTGAAGAGCTCTGGGACTGCGAATCCATTGCTCTCAGGCCTCAAGCGTCAAGGATAAGAGGGTTGTGATAAATTTAAGTGGTATATGTGAGGTCAGGTTCTTGCCAATCAGTGACACGTCAGCATTAGGCAAAAATTTGAGCCTCATATTTCCTTCCCATTTGTTTCTGGACTTTTTATGATTTTGTCTGGCTGTGAATGTATGTATGTATCATACCATGAAGCAGTGATGAAATAAACTCAAAACAGAAAAAATTGTTTATGGAAGGGGATATGAAATGGTTTGCGTAACGACGTTACAGTGAAGGGAAATAAAGTGAACTATTTACAAACAAAAAGCATATTGAAAGAATAGCAGTTATATGAGCATTCTGTATCAACCACCAAAAACTGTAATCCAATGTCAGTGAAATCATCAATGGAAGTCTTAGCTTGGCTTTGATCTAAGCTCCATTAGCTGGAGGTCCAGAAGATTTTTTAGTCGAAGATGCAGTACCATCTTCGTCGATATCTATTTCCTTCACACCAGCAGTTAATGAGGAACCGGATCTCTTCTCCTTATCCATCTCAGCATCCTCATCCTCATCTTCATCGTCGAGAAAGGAGCCTTTCCGCCTGAGTTCTTTTACTTTCTGGAATTCATCATAATGAGCTCTTCTGTGCTCCCTAAAACTCCTACCATTTTTATCTGTCTCAGAATCTGCAAAGTCCCAGCAGAAAATGGCGGAACAGACAGTCAGATGAAAATAGAATAAATGTAAGTGAGGGGTAGAACAATTTGAATATATCCCAGTCTTTTTTTAACTGGGCAAAGGGGGCGCGAGAACTAGAAGAGGATTAAACAACGAAGTTCTAAGCATTAACAGAACATAATGAGGGAAAGTTTAGACGCAATAATAACCCATGACTGTGTTCATTGGGACCCAATCTCATGTGTCTTACACGAAGTAACAGCGTGAGATGATGCAACTTCAACATACCCCTCTACCAATTCATAGTATTTCATTGGTAGCACAAAACATGACATCTACTCTCTTTATATACCTTCCATACAGAGGATAATATATGTAACAGAACTTAACACTAAATTTAAATTGGGGGGAAAAGCTTACTAAAGTTGAATAGTTAAAAAAAATAAGGTGACAAGTTTATATTTAATCAGCCAACTGCAAGGAAATATAGTGAATAGTTGTAACAAAATCTGATTGAAAGGGTTAGTTGATAGAGACACCAAAATGGTTGCTCACTCTTTAGCTAATAAGGGACAATTGCATGATAATACTTACTTGTATCTGGTTTAGGAAATTGGTTTGAACTTACGATAATTACACTAATGGAAATTGGTGTAGGCATTGTGGTAGTAGGATAGATGACTAAGCATAAATTGTGATAAAGTTCATAAAACTTCTGCTTTCTTTTTCTTACAAGCTTTTCTCTTAATTTTGCAGGAATCCCGACGTGGCTTTGACAAAGCAATACATGATTATGATCAGGTATTGTAAATTTCCATGAAAATTTTCTAAGGAAATATAGTCACACTCAAATACTTAAAGAATGAATTATACATATACATACACAGAGCTTCCATTGAGGAGCAGTTTACAAGCCATGCGGCACAATAAGAACACAAGCTGAGCTAGACGGTTTACGAGCTTCCAAGTAATATTGTGCCTTCTGCAGCGGTTGATGGCAATCGTCCCTTTGGTTTGGCTTCTTACAAAAATAAAATATAGACGCAACCATGCAGTCCAGTGCAAACTTACACATTGCAGGTAACAAGTTGATTGGTTATTTCATTATGGTGCCATATCGTAGAACTCAAAACTGTATGCATGGCTTAACTCATCTCAACTCTCAAGATAACCATAATACCAACTACTTGAGGTAAGCAGCTGCCAATAATTTGAAGGCACAAGACCTTGAAATCCTGAAACCATGTTTGAAGGCACATCTACTCTCTTTATATACCTTCCATACAGAGGATAATATATGTAACAGAACTTAACACTAAATTTAAATTGGGGGGAAAAGCTTACTAAAGTTGAATAGTTAAAAAAAATAAGGTGACAAGTTTATATTTAATCAGCCAACTGCAAGGAAATATAGTGAATAGTTGTAACAAAATCTGATTGAAAGGGTTAGCTTTGGGAAGAAAAAGAAAAGAGAATGAAAGAAGACCTTCATCATCTTGTTCCATAGCATCTGCCTCATCCTCAGATGATGTCCAGCCAGTAGATCTTGGGGTGTTCTTTCTACTTGATGATGCTACATCGGTCAAAGCAGTTCGTATTGCTTCTGCATGAACTGCATCACCAACACAATCATTGAAGCTACCCCGTATAGGAGACAGAGATCCTGCCAAGATTAAAGTTGCCACACAAAATGATAAGTTTCCACATTTAAGATACATATATATATATATATATATTTTCTTTCAGAATACGAGTATAGAAAACCAACAAATCAAACATTAGCATATGAAAAGAAACAATCATTGAAACTCAAGACCACTTTATATTATACGTATCACCAGTGACACTTTGTTTTGAAGGAAAAGAAGACAAACACATTAACGTTCATACATATACAACTGACAGGCCTCCATAGAACGGAAAATATGATAGAAACCAGCATACCATCCTCATCATCGGTCATCATAGGGTGGTATGGCGTCTTCGGCTCAGTAATTTTCTGCCTTACAGGTTTATTTGCTTCGATTTCTCCCAGATTAGCCTCATCCCATCTAACTCGGCCTCTGCCACTCAATCAGCAAAATCTAAAATCAGTATATCTATCAACTTCAAACATATGCTAAGAAACAAAAAGTATACAAGATTTTACAAATCAGAAAAACCATCCAACTCCTAAATGCAATGCCTTAATAAACATTTCATTCTTAATATCCATTGTTAAGACAAGAAGAATTTAACATTAAGAAGACAGATTGAATTACTTCATTTTGCAAAACAGCTGATCTCCGCAAAAGCAGCACAAGCAACTGCTCAATTGAATTGAATTCTCTGAAACAAATTGAAAAACTTATTAAATTCTCAACATTAAGCAGAATAAACCCAAAACAATTGCATTCTAGGTCCTCAAGCTCAACCCCTTATTAACGACAATGAATTATATTTACACAATAACCTAAGAACCTAAGAAAGAAAGGAAATTTCAATTCCATTTCTCCGAAATATATCCAAAGCTCAAAGATGGGCCATAATATACTAATCAAAGACGCAGAATAAGAAAACAATCCAGTAGAGCCACAGATCAATAACGCATTAAAACCCTAACGAACCTAATCTTCAAAAACGCAGAAGGTGCCCAAGAAAATATACGGATCACCTTGCTTATGCCTCGTTTGGTTGCTGAGAATATTCGAGAAAGAGAAGAAAATGAACCTCTGGAACCATAGAAATGATCAATTAAACAGCGAGTTTGTTTACGGATCGAAACTTTCAATTTCTTTCATTTTCCTGTCGTTTCCGGGATTTCATGGCCAATTTTGAGCGTAAAAAATGAAATTTATAAGTAGAGAAAACAAGAAACAGAAAATTGGATTTGGTACCTCACTTCCTCTGGGAGAAAATAGGCGTGCGAATCAATCGAAGTGCTGAATCCAATTTTTCTTTTTTCCTTCTTATGTTGTCCTGTTTTACTAAAATACCCTACTGAATAAGATGTAATAGCAATTGAAGCCACCGAAGGATGTTCCCTGCAGTGTGAAGATCTTGGACCGTAAATCCAAATTACATCCCTATGATCTAAACACGTCAGCAAGGAGAAGGATTTTCAAAGAGTATAGCCGGCTATACTCCTGAATAAATTATATTAATTAAATAGTATAGCCGCCCGGCTAGACGCCTTACATATAATAAATTCCATTATTTAAATAGTATAGCCGCGCGGCTATACACATCAAACATGATTAAAATAGTATAGCCGAGCGGCTATACTATACATTCGAATATTTAAATATTATCGCCGCAACTACGGCTATACTATAAATTCGAATATTTAAATATTATAGCCGTATGGCTATACCGGTTGAATATGATAAATTCGAGTATTTAAAGAGTATAGCCGACCGGCTATACTGTTATATTAATCTTAAAATTTTGTCGAGTTAACTTTACTGAAAAACAAAGGAAAAAGAAATTGCACCATGTAGGTCCCAGCCTATAGACTCGAAAACTTGGCCAAGGGTAATTTGTCAATTACAAATAACAAATTAATATGGAAAAAAATTTGGGAAGGGAAAAATAGAAAGAGAGTTTTGTAGCTTAAGACTGTTCTTGGCCAAAAAAAAAAAAGAGAAGCAGCTGTTCTTGGGGGCCGAATAGCTACACGGAGTAGCAGGAGTTCTTGATAACAGTGAAGACATCGCCAGCATCCCACAAGAGTAAGAATTTGAGTTTTTGCAATCAAATATATATATGTATATCAATATACTACGGATCCAACTTTGTTTTTCTCCGTCAATATCTGATTATCATGCGTGAAAATTCTTTGTTGATCTGGGTCTCTTACGGTTTCTTTGTTCTATCTGAATTTTAGTGCTGAAAGGAAAATGGGTTATGTTAATTTTCATTTTTGTTTTTAGATCTAATGGTAATATTGTAACTTGATGATTGAGCTACTAAAGAAGGCTTGATGTAGTTTGCTGAAAATGAAAAGGGTGGTTTATGATTATAATTGCTTCAAAAAGAGTTGGGATTTTACAATTGACGAAAAGTTGAAGACTCAATTGGTGAGGGCAATCAGAAGTTGAGCCAAATGTATTGAGTGTATGCGAATTCTGTTGAGATTGCCAAATGGATCCAAGTGTTTCAAATTTGCAGCAACATTGATCCTTTTTGTTCTGTTTCAGGTGGTAAAATTCACAAGGTTGAGGAAGATCAAGTTTGATAATGAAATTCTTTCGGTAGGGATAAAATAGTAAAGAGATCAAGGGCAGAGATGTTTTCGTTGTTTTATGGGCTCTGGAAATATATGTTCAGTAAGACAGAGTTTCATGTACTCATTCTTGGAATCGACAAGGCTGGGAAAACGGTAATGCACCTGTGAAATCTTCTTTTACTTATTGGGCTTTATTTTGTGATTTTGAGCTGCTTTTATTTTTTGTGGAATTGTCTTCTTTTAACACATCTTCAGATACATTAGCTTTAATTCTTATTCTGATATCAATTTGTAGACTTTGCTCGAGAAGTTGAAATCACTTTACTCAAACTTGGAAGGTCTCCCTCCTGATCGAATTGTTCCAACTGTGGGACTTAATATTGGTCGTATTGAAGCATCAAATACCAAACTTGTGTTCTGGGATCTGGGAGGTCAGGTATGTGAAATTCATCCGTGCCATTCATATTCTTTCATCTTTCTTATTCTTTATTTTAACATAGATTTGTTCTCCTTTTACTTGACTCTGGTTTCAAGTATTGTTCCACAAAATGTAGGATTGGGGAATACTACACGCTACTAGCATCATATTGAATTTTACATTTTCCAGAGAACATTATTATTGTTAATATTACTATCATTAGCTGGTTATCACATATCAGGATTGTTGTAGTCTCCAGCTGTTGCAAATCCATCCTTTCTGTAGTATCACATATCAGGATTGTCATAATTATTGATGCAATAGTTGTTTGTTTTTGCTGTCAGCCTGGTCTTCGCTCAATCTGGGAAAAATATTATGAAGAAGCACATGCCGTGGTCTATGTAATTGATGCCACTTGTCCATCACGTTTTGAAGATTCAAAATCTGCATTGGGTAGGTGATATTAAATTGCTAAATCTTGTGAACGTATTGTATTGGGTTTGTAACTATGATTTCCTATGATCGTATAGCTATTAAAGTTGAGGAATAACAAAAATACTTGAGATGCTGATACTATTACTTTTAACTTTTCAAAACCAGAAAAAGTTCTTCGGCATGAGGATTTGCAAGGAGCTCCTCTATTGATTTTGGCCAACAAGCAGGTGAGAGGCGAATTATGCATCCTTTCGAACCAAAAGAATAGTATCATTTCCCCCAAATTCATAAGCAACCTAATCATGAATTTTCATAAATTTGGGCTTCCATATGTCTGAAGTTATGGAACCACAGTTTTCACGTTTTGGTATTTTCTTCAAATTGCGCACACCCTGAAATCTATGTGCATAGTTCTCCTTAGGTTACATATCTTCTATAGAAGGGTTGTAATTTGTTGTGCATCCTCCTTGTTTCTTTAACGAATGGAATTACTTCCTTCTATGTTTGATATGACGATCTGCTATTCCTCTGTCATCTCTTGTTTTCTATTGTAGCTACCTTCCATTACCAAATTCTTTCTTTGAAGTCTTGTTGTACTCTGAAGTCTAGTTTTTGTGTGCCTGTGAGGAACCTTGGGTGCTGGCAGAAGCATTGGCATGCATTGTGTTGTGTTAACCTGGTTCTTCATTAAGAGAGAAAATAAATAGCTCAATAAATCTCTGTGTCTTCACTCTATTGAAATTTGTTGGCAATGTCAGGATCTTGCTGATAGTGTATCAGCTGAGGAACTTGCTCGATATCTAGATCTTAAAAAGTTGGATGAAAGGGTTTATATGTTTGAAGCCGTTTCAGCATATGATGGGTAAGTGGATCTTTTCTAAGCTCCATTGCTTCGCCAAATATTTAAATTTTAATTGCTCTGATACATTAGCGATATGGAAAGAAATTTTGGCACCTGATGAACTACTACATAGTGGTTGAACCAGAGATCCGCAGTACGCATTTCTCTGCACGGAGATGTGGTAGATTTACAAAATGCAGTAGCTCTTACAGTTTGATATTGGATTGCAGGATGGGGATTAAAGAAAGTGTGGAGTGGTTGGTGGAGGTAATGGAGAGAAGCAAGAGAACTGAAATGTTAAGAGCCCGTGCAGGAGCAACAGGCCCTGCTTCTAACTAGAATGGCATGTATCAACAGCCGATATGGCGGTTGGGTTGCCCTGCTTCTTTCAGTAACAGTTGTGTAAATAAATCAGGCTTTTTGAATTCATTCTGATTATTTATTACATGATTCTAAGTCAAAGATCGAAGTTTTCACATGTCTTCTTCAGGCTAGTGCTTCTAATTGTTCTTACTTTTTTAGCTGGAAATTCAGAATGTAAGATAGAACTTATTATGTGAATCTTGTATTTTAAATTGCTGTTTCCTACATACGAATCCAGTTGAAGCCTAGGAATTTTATGCATCAACATGGCCCTTGTTGCAATTGTCTCGTACTCGATAAGAATCAGAAGCAAGATTCAGGGATTTGAATAATGATAATAATAACACATAAATAATAGGGACATTGGATCATTTGAATACATTTGTTTCCCTTCTTTGACATCCTTTGCAAGGAATACATTTGAAGAAGCTGCTTCAGTTTTTCAAGGCACGGAGTTGAACTGAGCTGCTATTTGCCCGCTGCCCTTATTCTTCTTCACTGCTGGTTGTGGTTCTTTGCAAATCAAAAGGAAAAAAGGCAATGTGTCATGTTCAATAATTCTAGTACACCAAAAATCCAAATTTTTTTTTTTTTTAATCTTCCAAAAGTAATGTAAGAAAAGAGTGAAATACTTACTGGAAATGAGGGCCATAGGTCTGGTCTTGAACAGAATCCGGTGGCGAATAATTCCGATGACTTCCAATTCTACCCCTGCGTCTCGGGAGGGCTTGAGTTTCCTTAAGACCAAGAGTGGCTTCTTCAAGGGCTGTTTGGTCCCTGTCAATTCGTGATACCCAATAGTAAATGTGTAGGTTTGGTCCTGGGAGGAGGCGGAAGGGCGGCAGAGGAGGCCGATGTGGAGGTTGTGGAGGCGATCTTGAAATTGGGACTGAACCTCCACCATCCCTTGCAATTCCACCACCGCCCATTCTGGGCAGTTGCTCTCCCCGCAACTGCACTTCACCCGAATCTGCATTCTCTCTCTCTCTCTATCTTCTTCTTCTTC